ATAATAAAGAATTTTTAAAAAAAAAAGTAAGAAAGCAAGCTCCATCCTTTCCCCATAATAGGCTGTCCAAGACCTGACTCTAATTAGGATATTTAGGTATTTAGAATAACAACATTTTTGTACAATTAGCACAGTAGACTCCTTATTACAGCTAGACATTTGTTTCAAAAGTTTAGACATCCAGCTTTCCTTTCACCACTACAGTAGCAGCCATGAGTATGCTCAGGCTTCAAAAGAGATTGTCTCCCGTGTCCTCCGCTGTGGCAAAAAGAAGACTGGACTCCAATGAGACCAATGAAATTGCCAATGCCAACTCCCGTCAGCAGATTTGGAAGCTGATCAAAGATGGGCTAATCATCCAAAAGCTTGTGATTGTCCATTCCCAGGCTCAATGCCAGAAAAACATCTTGGCCCACAGGAAGGGCAGGCATGCGGGCATAGGTAAGTGTAAGGGTACTGCCGATGCTCAAATGTCTGACAAAGTAATCTGGATGAGGAGGATGAGAATTCTTTGCAGCTACTTAGAAGACACCGTGAATCTAAGAAGATGGACAGCCACATGTACCACTGCCTGCACCTGAAAGTGAAGGGTAATGTGTTCAAAAACAAGCAGATTCTCAGGGGACACATCCACAAGCTGAAGGCAGACAAGGCTCACGAGAAGCTTCCGGCTGACCAGGCCAAGGCCCGCAGGTCTAAGACCAAGGAAGCAGCAAGCACTGCGAAGAGTGGCTGTAGGCCAAGAAAGAAGTCATCAAGACTGCCCAAGGAGGAAGAGAACAAGAAATAAAGTGTCACCTTTCTTAGCTACACATAGTGGCTTTGGCAATTGCACTAATCATTTAATGAACATAGCCTTCAACTACCAAAAAAAAAGTATAGGCATCCAGTCCTGGTCAGTATGCTCAGTGGTTAGACCTTCAGCCTGTGCACCAGGGGTTGGTGGGTTTGATTCTTGGTCAAGGGCACACACCTGGATTGCAGGTTCAATCCCGAGCCCTAGTTAGGGCACGTGCCAGAGGCAACCAATCAATGTGTCTCCAAAATCGATTTTTCTCTCTCCTGCGCGCTCTCTCTCTCTCTCCCCCTCCCTCCCTCCCTTCCACTATCTCTAAAAAAATTAAAATAAATTAATAGGAAAAATCTCCTCGGGTGAGGATTAACAAAAACAAAAAAGGTTTAGGCATCCAATTTACCAATACATACACTCTGAAATATCAAGTACACTAATTACAAAGCTAACTCAAAGAGTGCAAGTTCCCATGATTTGTGAACTGCAGTTTGGTAGCCATACATTCAAACAAAGTATGATCAATCTTTGGATATATTATTACTGATAATTATTCCTATTACAAGTCAGTGAAGAATGTTTAAAATACTCAAATAGGCTCTGACCAGTTTGGCTCAGTGGATAGAGCATCGGCCTGCGGACCGAGGGGTCCCGGGTTCGATTCCAGTCAAGGGCATGTACCTTGGTTGCGGGCATATCCCCAGTGGGGGGTGTGCAGGAGGCAGCTGATTGATGTTCCTCTCTCATCGATGTTTCTAACTCTCTATCCCTCTCCCTTCCTCGAAATAAAAAATCAATAAAATATATTTAAAAAAATAAAAAAATACTCAAATGGTTTTGGTATATATAGTAAAATTTAAATTCCAGATGCCAAAATATATTTCAAAACATTTAAGAAATTATAGCTATTGCGAAATGTTAAAGAAGATAAACACAATTTTCAGAACCACATTTAAGCAAGACACAAATCCCAAAAGCCATACACAAAACAGATTTGCCTAAATGAAAATACTCTCAACTTTTATATAGCAACAATACATCATAAACAAAGATAAAGCAAATAAGTGAGGAAAATACATGCAACCTCTGCCAAAATAGTAATATTATAAATACGTGCGCGCACAGTTTCCTTGCATATCAGGAAAACAAATCAAGACAACCATTTTCTGCCAGACTGGAGAAAAACAAAGTTGATGGATAGCTGATAAAAATTAAAAACTTATTATGTAGGGGGACTAAATGGTGATGGTTGGAGAATTGACTTGAGGTGGTGAACACACAATAAGTGTACAGATGATGTATTATAAATTGTACACCTGAAACGCAGATAATTTTATTAACCAATGTCGCCCCAATAAACTCCACAAAAAAGTTTTTGTGTTTTGTTTTTTTTAAAGAATAAGGTAGTTATTATGTGTAAGTTGCACGGATACATGCCCACAATGTCAGGTAAAAGGCTGTTGAATATAATTATGATAAAAGCTACTATTTATTGAAACATATTCCAGGTTATGTATGAAGCACTTTATATTATTCCCAACTGTTCCTAACAATTCTATTAACTCTCTCCACTTAACAGGTGAAGAAAATTAGAGAAAAAGAAAAGAATTACCTAAATTCACTGAACTATGGTACCAGGCATCTGATTATAATTATAACCTCTATGTATAGAGGCTAGAGTGTCTCCATACATCTTTCACAATACAGCCTTATATTTTTAAAAATTATGTGTAGTGTGCCTACATGCAGAAACGAGATGAGAAAATTTCATTTTCTATTTTATAAATTTGTTTCAATTTATTAAATTATTCTT